GTCGAGTTCATCAGCGTTGCCAAATTGAAGCTACATCAAGAAGGGGATGTTATGATGAGCAAACGCTTATGTTTTATTCATGCCGGCTCCCCTCCGCCTCTTCACTTCGTTTCTGTTTGCCGTTCCCTGTCGTCCGCTACCTACTATGTCCGCAGTGCTGTTTTCCGCTGCTAAAACAATGCTTGTTGTTCTTATCGGTGGCTTGGCTCCGTACGGCATTGCCGTCGCTGTTATCCCTTGAATATCTGTTCAATGCAGGTGCATCCGATCGGGACGAATGGATAAGGCCGAATAAATGGATCAGATGTACGCGAGAGATCAGGAACAAGAGCCCGGCGGGATGGAATAAGAGAGGGGGACGGTGGGAATCAGGGATGCTTGGGGGGAGTAAATTCTATTTCGTCAATCCGCCCGCAAAATCCTCTCAAGAGAATCTAATCATCTGCGCCGAAACGACGGAGATTCCCTTCACTCATCCGCTCACTCGAGCTTCCCTCTGGTCCCGTGGACGCTCGGAACTAAGCCGTTTCACGTAATTCGTAATCTCTAGTCGACAGCGATTTCTCCAATCAGCTACCCGAAGATGAGGAAAACTTGAAGACACAATTTGGTAGGTATTCCGCAGCGGATGGAAGGGATGAGGCAATCAGAGGGGAGCCCGCGGAGCGGCAAATTTCGCGAGAACCAGCAAAAATGAACGGAATAAGCGAGGAAAGACTCGATGAGAGACTCGGGGGAAGTATCCCAGAGATTGAAAAGGACCGGAATGATATCGGAATCGAAAAGCCGGTAGTTTATGCTCGTTCGGCAACTCGGATCCTCGAAACTTTTCTCTTGACCCGAGACGTCCGGAGAGTGATATGGACTGAAAATCGAGGAACGAACGAACGCTCTCCTTTGTTTCCGGTGGAATGCATCCAGAAAGTCGCCGAGGCGAATGTACCCCTCGACATACCGTCGGATCGAAGATCTACTTTGCTGCTTTCATTCCAGTCGCTCCTTCACGTTCCCTTCCAACTGACTGGTTCTGTCGACTTCTTTCCCCCAGACCCGAATGATCGTCGCAGAAACCACGAAATCGGTTGGTAGGCTGCGGCGAGTCTACTCTTTCGTCATCGTTCGATCCCTTCTCTCGTTCCCTCCTAGTACACTCCTCTGCTTTTCTGAGGTTCCTCTTTCCTTGACTCGGTCGAGCTCTCATGGAAGTTGTGTGCGGTCGCATCGCCGGGAAAAATTCGTTTTTTCCCTTCCGCAAAAGCTCGCTCCGAGTCTCTTCCTCTTCCGTCTCGCTCCTCCCTATCTCAAAATCTCACGTCAGGAATCTTCTCCTTACACCGCCCCTCCGATTCCTTGTCTTTTTTCCGGTCTCTCAGACCCGTGTTCGACAGCTGGCTGCAGGTGCTGATACGGGGCCATGATTCGAACAATGAACACGCGAACGAATGAATGTCAGAGAATGTCATGAAGAACCAAGACCCTCTTTTGACGAGCCGAGGACGGGCTGACTCAGCCCATTCATTTTGAGGATAAGAAGCGACCCGGAGTCCGAAGAGCGCAGCGACTAACGTTCGGAGAGACCATTAGAGAAGAATAGCGGAGTCCTTTTTTGGAGATGACGAACATTCCGGAACTTCCACCGACCAGGTGGCGGGAAGGCACCGATCTTGGAACGATAAGATGATAGGATTATCAGTGCTGGTGCAGTCCCAGGAATCCATGCCGAACAAAAGACGCGGAATTCTGCTGAGACCTGCGGAACGTCCCCTTACCTCGTCTGTAGTCCCGTGTGTCCCGTTCTCCTTGAGTTCTTGAAGTCGGAAAATTCGTGATCGGTCCTGACCGCTTCGTGAAGATGTGTTCCTCGAATATAATGGTGTGTCAAAACCCTCTTCCGACGTCAGTCATCCGAGTTTCTTGTGGTCACCCGTATCTCGTACTCGCCGCTTCATTTCCGCGCTATTCTTCTCGGAGTTCGGGTCCGACGGGAGTCTCAAGAACGGAACGGCCGTTGGCTTTTCGGAGAAATGGCTCCATGCCCTGGTACCGCCGCGCAGGTGTTCTGACTCGGAGCGTCGTCTCTCGGTGGGAGCAAGCTTCTCTCGACAGAATGAGACAGCGCATGCGAAAGTCTTGAGAGAGACCCACTAGTGGGGAAAATGGCGGAACTTCTACTGTAAGACCCGCTCTGGTTCCACAGGATCTAATTGAATGGGATTAGATGTTGTATACGTATCTTGCGTTTTCCCCGTCGCGTCGTCACGTGTGACGAACGAGTTGCTCGTGACAGCGAATGATGTGAATGAATGAATAAATGAATACAGTGCGCCAGTGTTCTCGCATCGAGATGTTTTCTTCGCGCGCCCGAAGTTTGCTGGGTCCTGTCTTTGTTGCTGCCGCCGACGACGGCTTTCGCTCTCTCTTTGTTTTCTCCGCTTCACAGCAGACAATCATAAAGACAACCGACAACGGAGCGAATAAAAAGCGGGGAGCAAGCCTGACGATGCGAGAGATCGCGCAATTCTTTCCGGGACTCTTCCTGTGTTCGTCTTTCCCTTCCGCGGGATTTTTTCACTTCCGTCGTCGACGATGTCCTTGTGTCTGCAGAAGAGATGTCGTTCGCAAAAATCCTCTTCCTGTAGCCTCCTCCGGAACCTTGTTCCTAATCATTTCCTATCCACTGCGTCCTCCTATGCTCACGCGCGGGGAGTCGGGCCGGGAAGCTGGCGAGGGAGCGGACAAGCGGACTGACTTACGTAGAAAAGTCCGAACCGCTCTCGTTCGAGTTGTTATTGTCGTCGTCGTCCTGTTGTCGTCGATTTCCTCTTCAGCAGAGGTTCCTCGTACCCCTAAAGAGTTCCCTCTGGAGTTTCGACGGCAGTCGCTAATGGTTCGACTCGTTCGCCTCCTGTCTCTGAACCTCCTCTGCGGCGAATTTTCGGTCTCACCAAGCATTACTCGAACGAAGTCGAAAATCAACGAGGTCGACAGCACTCTCATCGAATCTCGCGAATCTGAGCATCTAGGGAATGAATGCCTCCATGAATAAAAACACATCAAAGATTCCTGACGCACGATTCGGAGCTTCTGCCGTCAGCGGACAATAGAGCGCTCTTGGACGCGATTCCCGAACTCTTGCCCACTCGGACCTTCCCGTAGACCTGCGGCTCACGACTGCGGAGATGGTCGCCGGTTTCGCGAACCAGTGCGAGCGACCAACGGCTTCTCAAAGAGCATCTTATCTATGAATAAGCAGCCTGTGTACTCGAGGTACGAGCGAGAGAAGAAGCAGGCCCCGCGTTGAAGCTTATCCAGGCCTGTGGGAGAACAGGCGACGTTATCCAGACAATGACCTCAAACAAAGCGACTTATAGCTCAGCATCCCAGTGCACGTTTGCCCAGCAGTTTCTCTGGATATTTGCTCACTCCCTCGGCGGCATCCTCCGCAGCGAAGGCTAGTCTCGTGGAATTACGGACATCACGCTCGACTGCAGGGCGCAGTGATGGTGAAGGAAAACATTTAAACCACCTCAAACTTCGAAGAAACTTCCCGGGACCCCTTCGAGTTCCAAAACGTCCCCCGATCGTGCTCACGCGTCCTCAGGGAGAAGAAGGACGCATTCAAATCCGAAATATGACCCCAAGTCCAAGAAACCTTGGGACTCACGTCTAATCAGATGATGGGGATTCGTTCCGACTGGCGTCTGCATCAAGCCTCGATAGAAAGAGGGAGGGAGCGATTCTCAAGACGGAACCGTCGCCAAGACCAACGAACGCTGTGATTGCGGTCTGAACTTGTCAAAACTGTCAAGATGCAGCTGATGTGTGAAATTGCCTTACGGAAAGACCGACTCAAGCTTTCGTGACGGACGTCTGACCTCAAGGCTCTCCGGACTGGAGGTGCCGTCTTAGCTCCGACGGAATCATCGCGGAAGGATATTCCGGCTAAGTCCTCCGGTTGACGCGCAAGTTTACGCAAGAAGCCACTTCGCGGAAAAGCGACTCTATATGAACGGTTGCCGGAGAACTCTCTCGTTCTACCGATCTGTGAGAATCTGAAATTCGGTCACACCATGGCATAGGTACAAGAGGGGAATTCCATCGATAAAGCGATGAGGCTGTGCTTGAATTTCAGGTTCAGACGACTTTATTCACCTACTTTCTTTATTTTCTTCATTTCACTCATTTTATCGATTTTTATATCGAAATGTCGACCTACCAAAAAACGTCAACGTGTGAATGCTTACTTTACAACTAGCTGCGACTAAACACAGATATATGCATCATACGGTATAGAACCTGAATCGAGCGTCTGAATACATCGAGTCAGACCTCCAGGGATTGACTGTTCACGACGCGATCGTTGATAACTATAAACGTGTCGATCAGTCTGTATGATTTCCAATAGCCCCGTTGGGTTGCGTCGGTTGCGTTCCATCGATGATTTCTTCCACGCAGATTCTCGTCCCTCTGGAAGAGCTCGGTCGCAGGATCAACTCCCGGTGAGGTACGCGCTCCTCCCTGTTCCCCGAGTTCGGAAATTATGGTGCCGCTGCCTTCGAAAATACAGAGGACCTCGGGGGGAGTTTCCGAATGATAATTGGAAGGAGAGAAGTCGGGTGACACTGGAGTTGGGATCCGGCCGTTTTTTCACTCGATCGCAATACAGTAATCTGTACAGCTCACAGAGAGTGTGCGCAGAAGCTCGGCACGCCGGGATTAATGCTCCGTCCCCTCCGCTATCCCTTATTCCCACACAACGGCTCGCCATCCCGGAAGAGAAAGATACGAGACTGTAGCATAGATTAACGGAGCTCGAGCTCGCGTTCACAGCGCACAGTCAAGGCTGTGATAAACTCTTCGCTCGTGAAGCCACCTTGTCATTCCAGAAGTTTCGATCTTTTCGATTCTCTGGGCACAGACGGATGAGAAGACACCGCAAGATTCCGGGTTTTGATGAGAGCGAAATCACAACTTTCATCCGGCTCGGTTTTCACTCGAATGAGAATCGATAGGGACTTCGCCACGCGACGGAGGAATAAGATTCCGGGGCTCATGAAAAATGCTTTCTTCATGGAGTGATAGAATTTTATGAGTGGAAATCGCGGAATAGGGAGAGACGGGAGTGCGAAAAGGATCACTCTCTCGGCCAATATCGACACCATGCCCGACATGCACGCCGCCCGTCACGGAAGAATTTTCAAACATCCGTCGCGAGTGTCTTCGGGGATCGGATTTACCAAATTCAGGCGAGCAGTCGATTCTAGATGATAAATCATTCGTTTCTGAGCAGTGTAATGGGTACCGCTGATCTCCGAGCCGTGAAGCAGGACCTTGGCTCATTCTTCCTCATGACGAAGGTACTTTTTGCTGAAGGTATCTAATTCCGTTTCGAGATAACCGGCGCGATTCCTGAAAGACGGAAAGAGACGATCGATGAGAACGTTCCCAGAACCAGTGAAACACTTACGACAATTCCGGGGAGGTTACATTGAGGTCCCCAGCCCCCACCATCCCTCACCCCGATTCAAGCCCCAGAGGGTGAACGACGAAACTTGAACAGGCGCACGGCACCATAACGAGAGGAAACTGATCAAGGAGGATCACGCTCGTCAGCACGGTTCTCCGAGCCAGGGCTGCGAGACGTCTATTGATTTTTTTTTCGATTTCACCCATGACTGCTTCATATCCTTTGTTCGTTTCTTCTATTATATTGAAGGGGTACGTGTGCGACGGTCGTCCTCGTCGCTTCCGCCTCAAAGATATATTCATTTCCGCTTTCTCAGTTGGTGGAGTTTGCTCCGGCCAGATGTCGTCAAGAACAAATATTTGCCAATGTCACCAAGTCATATCGAGCAACGATTCGCTCGGCAGGGAGCCTAATCGGATCGTCAAACTTCGCGCCCTATTATATCAAGTCGATATCATCATGACGGTCGTAATCGCTGAACTTTCCAGGCGGAGCCTCCAGCAGCACCGCGAATGTTCATCGAGATTGAGATTATTCGAAACGGGCTAGTTCATGGATATCGAAGAGGATTCATCGAAGTCACGAGCGAAAATAGAGACGAAAAAATCGTTTCATGGATCCGCATGACTTCGATGCTAAACAATCGCCAGGATAGAGAGGCGGGAGCGGGAAGACGCACCGAAGAGTGGCCCGTCCTCATCGTGAATCGTTCGACGGTCCTCACGCCTCTACTCTCAGCTATCCTTCTTGGCGTTCCCAAGGGCGGAATCTCTCGATAATGTTCGAATTGAATACATCTGCTCCGGCGAAACCCCCGGAGCCTGAGCAGCCATATCAACACATACCTGAGTTTCCTCGCCTGACCAGCAGCTCCATCGGCCTCGCTTATCTGCTTATCCAAATTGGAGACTTCGGCTTCCATGTCGGTAACGACCTCGTCCACGAGGTGCCCGAGCCGTGCAAACGTTCCCGACAGCTCCTGTTGTACTTGATGACTACAATTCGAGGATGTCAGCTCAACGATGAGTTTGAGCTTCGCCGACGCATGCTGTACGTATTGCTTCTTGAAAGCTTTCTCTTTGGCCTTATTCGTCCACGTCATTCTTTCGTATGCGTAGACGATACCGTAGGCGCCAACCGTGATGATAATCACCTTCCAACCGACCGTCCTCACCACGATACCTGGAAGGAAAATTATGTTCTGGAAGTTTTCGGGGGAAAATACGACTCCTCTCATCTCCACCCTTCACGGCCTGATCACGCATTGTCTGAGGGTCTCGGAAGAAACTTTACCTGCTACCGCGAACAGTCCCACGGCTGTTTGGCTCGTCGGCGATAGGAGAGCGGTCTTCGTCATTAAAGCTAAACATTCTTCGGCGGGGTTCCCGAACGCCTCCCGCAGACGGGTCGGAGCTGGTGAGTCTGTCGGTGTCGCGTTGGGAAGTGGCCTGGGTATCGAACTCTGGCCCAGCAGAGGATGCTGAGCTTTCCGGGGACCCAGGAAGCGATTGATGATGGCAACGAAACCCAACGAAAACCTGAATTCCAGATCCTCTTGGAAATCACAACACAGAGACTCGCAATTCAAGCGATAGAGCGGCTCGAAATGATTCCTCGGCAGGGCGTTCTGCATTTGAGCTTGGAGATTTTCCGGGATCAGCTGGCCGAGTCGGTTGACCATCTCCTTCTGCGAAGTTTCCACTGAACACTGCAGAGGTCTGCAAGGAACGAGGGAAGCATCTCTCTGAGCACTCAAAATGACGTCATTATCTTTATGAAACGCAGGCTCCCTGAGAAGGATTCGATTTCCTCATTTTGACTTCCTCTCAACGGGGGTCGAGACTCACAAATTCAATCTAGCTTTCAGATTCGAGCCGAGACCCTTCTCGACGTAGGTGTGAAGTTCTTTCTTGTAGAGGTTCAGCAGAGCCGGGTCTGGATGGAACGGTCGCTCGTATTCCGTCACGAGGACGTTGAGTTTTCGGATTTCTTCCGAGAGAGCCTGGGTCACCTGACATTCGACCTGAAAGCCAAACACGCGGTCACAAGGAATTCTAAGGCGGATATCGGCCATCGATGGAGGACCTCAGGGCCAGAACACGTGACATCAACTAGGGAAGAAATACCTGTTCGACAAGCTGCTCGATCCGATGTTTGACTTCATCAGTGAGCTCGTGCATCTGCATTTTGGTGAATTCAAGGCGATCGAGATACTCGTTTCTGTCTGCGATCTTCGATTCTCGTAAAGAGGTTGCATTTTGGAAGGCTTTGTCCATGATTTGCATCACTTCGCTGACGATCTTCACGCCCCGCTCGCAATGTTGTTGGAATTTCGTCTTCACAGCGGTTTCAGAAAGACATTTTTCGAATTTACGCTCGAAATCTTCGAACTCGAAATAGCGACTTTGATAGCCTTCGATTTGACCTGCGGATAGAGATGATTGTGTTACTCCTCCGAGTTTCCGATTCAGAGGCGCTTCTTCGACTCCGAAAATTCGACGTGAGCTTTCGGATAGAAGGAATCATGATTCACCTACCTCCCGAGGGCTGTTCTCCTTTCAGTTTCTGAATTCTCGTATTGAGAACTTCACGAGCGGAAACGAAAAACACTCTTTCTTCCGCTTGTGATCTGCTGCCGTAGACCTGATGAAATAAAGGTACATATATTCTCGAATGCCTCCCTAAATGGATTTCTCGCTGCCGGATCGATTCGAGGCCTCCCTCAGCATGCACGACCATTGACCGGTCAAACGCTGTCAGTATGCCTTTAGTCATTACCTTCAGCTCCTCTAGTAGAAATGAAATATTCCTGTCGAGGTGCTGTTTCCGGACTTTGTCAATGCACTCGGGCTCGTTAGCCGACGCATCCCATCGATTGTTCAAAATGAACACGTTCGGCTTCGACAAGCGCTCGGAAACTTTGTGAAAGAATTTTTTCTCCTGTAAATGCAGAATGCAGTTTCGAAACTTTCTGCAAGTCACAGTCCGGAAACGGTCCGAGGAGGGAGCCGGAATTTTCCGGAGTGAGAAGTCATGTGCACGAGGGATATGAAGTCCGATATTACGCTTCATCGATCGTGAGAACGACCTTGTCTGGAGGACTCCGGAAACTCGTACTAACCGTTGTGGTGAGAGTGCTCTCAGCGTTGGCTACGATCACGAAGACATCCGCGTCGAGGCAATACTTGTCGATCCAATCGTCGACGTTGGGCGACACGTCAACTCCGGGGGAGTCGAGCAGGACGACGTCATCCCTCAAGAGGTTGCATTTATTGCTAGGCCAGAAAATTCTCACAAGTGCGTTTGGATCCAAGGATTCTCCGTGAAGGGCATTCCCCAACTGCGATACTGACTCCACACTCCTTTTCTCGCTTGTGTTCTCCAGCATCAAGTACGCCTCATTATTCTTGGAGCCTTCAACTTGTAGGAAACAATTCGTGGTGTGTCCCAAACCGGATGGGAGGATTTTATCTTGCAGCATGGCATTGATGACTGTGCTCTTTCCGTTGCTTGTTCTGTGGACAAGAGGAGAGACTTCTGAGTTCTGCTGTGTCGCCCCGAGACAGGCGTATCCGATGGTGTGACCCCGAGTGCGGAGGATCGGAAGGCGGTGTTTCGATGAAGCAATAGATCTCATCTGAGGCGGCATACCTTCCGAAAAAAACACATTTCATGTGGTCCCGGGCCAAAACCTCACGAATGCCGCGGACTTTGTCGGGGAAAGCTAGTACTGTTTCTCTATCGGCATTGTCGATGACCGGCATCTTATCCAATTCCAGGGAAGAGAGGAATTCGCCGCCCTCCGAGACATATTTCGAGATGTCACCGAATGTTGAATTAATTTCCTTCTTGGCAAGGACGAATATCTTCAACGGTGAGAGATGCTCCCGGGGTGAAACGCCGACCTGCAACAGAGATGATCCCGCATCAGTGAGAATGATTCTTTCTCGGCAGGGCTGGTGTAACGACAGGACGTCTCCGATTTCCTGCCCGAGAGCCGTCGATTAGGTGAGGTGGAAATACCGGTAACTCACTTTGGGACTAGCTCCCCCGAAGGTGTCACCGCCTCCGAAAACTTGGTGGAGCATCTTCCCGGTGGATCCAGACATCGCTGTTTTTCACTGCATCGAAAATCTGAAATAGAAGAACCGATCAGAATTCACTGCAAACTCTCCACGGACCGATACTGAAGGTTCGCCACTTATAGTAAATCAATATCAATCTTGGAACTCTATGATGTTTTTTCGAGAGCATGCCCGGCTCGAGCTCGGAGCTGGCTTATCTAAGAATCAAGCTACAGTAAGCACATGAAGTTCATGGGGAAAACCCGCTCGGATTGAGGTCTCCAAGAGGGGCTTACTCTAATCGAGGACCCCGAGGAAAGCCTCGCAATGCTCGGGAACCTCCCGAACCACTCTCGCATCCATAATTAATGATTATCAACCGGACAGTAGCTCGTTAGATTTTAGAGTTCGGATCAAGCGGAAAGTTTCGGATAATTATTCAGGAAGCGCCGTGCACAACTGGATGGGTCACACAATATTATCACAGAACTATCTTTCGGAAGCTATTTCGATAGAGCCTCTCAGGTCCGAGAGTAGCTGTATGCGAACACAAGTCTGTGACGCAGTTCAGAGACTACCTTGGAACGGTATTCAGACCCTTGTCAAGTCGTCGAAGTATCTAGTGCTATCGAATCGGAACACAAGTGAAGGAGACAAACGGCGCTGGGATTGAATCGCGAGAACTCGATTGAAGTTCCATGAAACGACAGAGGACCTGGGATCGAGGCCCTCGCTCGGTCGTGCGTTCTCCCTCCTCAAAGTTCCGAAATACACGACGAACACGCTGACATCACATATCAGGCAGGCTCGCTTTGGACACTTCGGTCGATATTTTCAAACAGAATACAGGAAACACCCAAGGAGCACTATTCTCCTCCGCATCCCGGAAACGAGAGTGATTCCCGATCTGATTCGGGCAATCAATCGGCATCCTCGGAAAGGTCGGCGTCGACGATAATGGAGCAAGTGTTCGTAGAGAGTTTCGGATGCATGGACTAGAGCCATGCGGACCCATGACAGTCTTCGGGGAGGGGCTCCTCCGCAGAAAGGGAGGGTGATCAAGTCGATCTTCAATACTCGTCAGATTGTCATCGGAGCACAATATCCGAGGAATGTTGGATGACATTCTAATTCGAAAGAGCTTATCGTAGCTAGAGGTACCAACTTCCAAGGACGCTCAAGAGCACAACACTCACGATGCCGGGTGATCTGCCCTTGGTCGGAAACTCACGTGAACAGAGGGCAAGGCTCACGATGAGCCGGGTCCAAGTTGAGATAGCTAGTACGCCCGTGGGGACTTCCGCGCTGAGATGCAATCCTGGCCTGCCGCCGATAGAGTACACTGACTGTGTGCAACAACACAGAACCTTGCTCTCAATTGCATGGGATAGGGCGCCTGGGGAGAAGCTTCGTTCCGGGTTTTGAGCTGTCGACTTCAGGTGATCGAGATGAGCGGATCGAGTCTGGAAAGATCTTTCGGAATCTAGCCCTGACCGGGTCGATTCCGAGAGATTCCGAACGACTTCGACGCGAGCGACTCACCCACGCGACAGACGGTCGGTGATGAACGGGGCGCCCGCCATCGTCAGGAGTGAAGCTTCTATGCGAAACCGAGGTGCGCGATTTCGTATTCTCCGAGACGATACGGCGCTTTCGTGAGCTCTCTCGTATAAAAGCTGAAGATTGATCGATTTGATCACTAAAGACTCCCGGGATTCTAGTTCAACATGTCTCGGACTCTGAGTTCGCCACGAAAGAACGCCGCTCTCAATGGGCAGAAATCAAAATCAAAGATTTGCGCGCGAAAGCAAGAATCCGAACTTTCGGCCGAGGAGACAAGAACCGCGGGCTGGCTGCGCATTACTGCGCAATGGTTTTCTGTGGGCTCAAGGCGCTTGCCGGATGGATCCCGCTAGACATAGAGATCATATCCGTACAGTCCAAGATTCGCCTCATTCATGGTCTCTCCGCGTGTGAAATGACTACCTGTCCTTTGTCTGTTTCATCACGAATCGCCTCCCCTTTTGAGACCTCCGGTGAGGAAGTTGTATCCCCCGTATCTCTGTGGAGAGCCGCATTTTTCTTATCCTTCCCTTGTGGATTTCGACCGACTCCAAGGTCAGGGAAACTTCAAATGCCTCGAGCCGGAGCCTCAGTAAGGCGGACCAACATCCCTCTCGATCGTAATGAGCTCTTTCTTACTAAAGACAAACCAGCTGCTTGAATTCGCCTGAGCAGCGACATGAATACCACGTGGACCCTCGAAGCGATTCCTCGAGAGATTGGAGAGGGAAACGAAAAAAAACACGCTGTGAGATTCATCGCGCCTGGATTCTAAGGGTCGACTGGGTATTGCGAAATGGTCGGATCCAATCTACCACGGAAGTGAGGCACCCGATCTTGGTACCGCAGAACCATGGAACACTTAGGCGGGGGGCGGCGAAGAGCGCGCAGAGGGGAATTACGTGGAATCCAGCGACATATTCTTTCGCTTTTCATGCAGTTTTCCGGAATGATGACCTCGAGAAGACGCAAACCTATGGGATTACACGGCATGACCGAGGACGACTCCGTCAGGAAATTCATGTGGAAATCTCCTGCGGGAAGACTTGGTTCGAGCGGTGGATATCCCCGAGCTCAAGCATTCCTTCGGCAGATTCTTCTGTCATCTGATCAAGAGCGCTGCTAGATCGCGGATCCCATCGTCCGTGGTTGGAGAATGATACCCCAGACTATCGACGAATGGCCTCAATATGGGTGTGACACGCATCCATCACCCGAATCATCGACATGGTCGATCGTTCATTTCTGACCTCAGATGAGAATCGCAGCCGTGTCAGGAACTCGAGATCCCAAATCAAGAGTGTCGAGTGGACTATCGGTGATCACTGTTGCTGGCGCTGATCGCTGAAGCAGGAACTCGATGGCTCTTCCACCGCCGATCTCCTAGCCCATCCTGAGAATTACTACGTATTAGACCCGAAGTCTCCGGGACTTTCGATTGCCACTATTTACATGCCGAATATTGCCGGACGCTTTCCAGGAGTCTTCCTCTTGTCGAGCCCTCCAAACTCAGCCGCCTCAGGGAGGGCTCGCATGGATCCGATGGAAGGGGAGTCGAATTTCCGATTCCAAGCTTCCTGTCGAGACCGATTGGGGGGAGGGAGAGTCTCATTCCCGACAGAATATCACCGAGAACTTCGTCTCTCGAGCCCATTCGGTTACGTATATAGTAGATCGATTCTCGAGTATGCGGACCCACCGTGGGGTTCAAGCTGCGTGAGCTCACCCGACTCGAGAAATCCCGCGAGACCGCATTCCAGATCAGGGTCATCCGATGGGCGCTCGTCGGGTCGCACTGCTTAGGGACGCTCGGACTGACAATTAAAGCATCATACTCCTCTCTGTAGAATCCTTATAAAAAGGACGGACTCTGATGAGGAGGGGTACATGGTGTTTTCTGGTGCTCGGAGACTCGGTGGTCCTGAGTTCTAGGTGCTGTTCAAGAATCAACGGAGACTGACTCGGAGTAGTTCCCCGGTCAGTCGGAAATTCGGAGACTTGAGTGTGTCACGTATTTCCATTCCACAGCACTGAAACACTTTTTTGGAATGAACGATGGCTACGGAAACCATGACGCTTGGGTCCAGTCACGCTTCAGGGATCTTCAGATAGTTTTCCAGGAGAATGGGTTGTACCTCAGGGAGGACAGTTTTATGCCGCTTCTCAACATCAGCCCAGATTGCCTGCGGAAGATCCTGAAGTGGGTGAATAGACACAAGCAGTCTGAGGCAGATCTGACACCAAACGAGATCAAAGCGCTCCGCGATTGGGAGACGTCGTTCCTGTCGGTGGACAAGGTAATCCTCTTCGATCTCATCGCGGCAGCGCAACACCTCGAGATGTCCGATCTCGTGGAGTGCGCGCAGAAAGTCTTGCTCGCTCTCCTCAAGAGAGGGAATGCGGCCGACATAAGGCTCCTGCTTGATGTGGACCGTTTCGAATGAAGGAGAACCTCACACGGAGTGTGCAGTCGATGACGATCGCCCCCGCTACCATCGACAACGTCGCCGCAAACAAGGCACCGGAGGAATTCTGAATGTGACATCGTCATCAGAGAGGTAATAAAGGATCTGTATCTGGCCTGAGTTTTCGTGGTGCAGTATCTTCGGAATAACTTCAGTAGCGCAATGGGAAATCTTAGAGCTAACACACGGAAGTGTGAGGACCATCAATCCCATCTTCGGCTCAATGAAGTGGAGAGGCCCCTCATCCGGTGGAATCCTCCAGGAAAATTAGCGAGCATGGCGATATGTGGGGCACGTTCCTGGGCGATTCGTTTTATTTCGTCGCTCCAACTCTGCGTCGGTCGAAGCGCGAGTCTGCGACTGGCTCCAGTCAGGAGAAGGGGGTTCGTTGAACACCGCTACGCCATCAAACGCTGCCCTTCTGCAGATCGGATGGTAGCTACCTATGTCTCCCTATAAGCGGAGTCTTCGAATCCGCTGGTCATATACCTGCGGTCAAAGCGACACGAACTCCAAACTTGGGAAAATAGTTATAGTCAGAGCCAGTGGCGTGCCCAGGGGGGGGCCAAGGGGGCCATGGCCCCCCAAAATTCTTTCAGCGTAATGCAGGAGTACAGGGTACCTAATCATTTTGGATCTCTGGCCCCCCGAAAACCTAGTCTGGCCCCCCCCCAAAAAAAAAATCCTGGGAACGCCCCTGCCGACGTCTATGCTCGCTTCATGCGTAACGTCGGCTCTTCTCCGCGCCAAGTCGATCCGTCTTTGAAAATCACGTTTGCAGTCTACAACAAACTTCTGCCATTGGTCTGATGGTCATCTGAGTGAACGTTCCGAATGATCAAGAACAGCGCCTCTGTGTTCCAAATAAATACTTTTCGAACTCGTTCACGGAACGCTC